ATCTTTCTCCCGCGGAGCAGCTGGTAGTTTCGAACCGCTGACCTTAAGGTTCGCAGCCCAATTCGTAACCACTACGCTACCAGAGCTCCTTATAGGCGATGCAAATTTTCTAATATGGTTCTTGAATTATCAGAGTCTTAATTATTTTCAGTGAACTTTTAGGGAGAGATTACACTATTTTAATTGGTAGGAAACTAATCACCAGAATCCAATATTTATAATGGCTCTATTTTGATGAATCAAAACTTCACCCAGGGGGTTGACTAACAGTTTTGCTGTGTTTTATTCTTAGCTGGATTTTGTATGAGAAACCAAACTTTGAAGGGCACTCCATCCCTTTAGAGGAAGGAGAATTGGAACTTTCTGCTCTCTGGGGTGTAGAAGATATTCTGGAAAAAAATGATGAAGAGTCTGCTGAGCCTGTGGTGATTGGTTCAGTCAGACACGTGGTCCAGGTAGGTTATGGTAAAAAACAGACTTCATTCACTGATCCAGTAAATATTTATTAAATGCCAGGAACTATTCTTATTTAAGACAATTGTTCATGTAAGTAAGTCGTGTTGTTGTGTGCTCTTGAGTCTGTTCTGACTCATAGCAACCGTGTATAGGGTTTTCAAGGAGCTACTGGTGAATTTGAACAGCAAACCTTGTGGTTTGCAGCCCCGTGTTTAGTCTATAGCACCACACCAGGCTTCCAAGACAATGATAAGGGAGAATATTTGATTGAAGATTATGGATATTTTTCCATAATTTTAAGTGTTTGCATATTTTAAAGAGATGAGAAAAGAAACATAGTAGTTAAGTAAACATTTTTTCGTGACAACATCTTAGGTAAATTATATATTTTGCCTCTGTCTCACTTCAGGACCTCCTATCTCAACCTCCCAAATCCGTTGTACTCAACCTGCTTTTGATGAGTTTTATATGAACAAGTTTTTCTTACTTAATCTTCTGGTTGCCACATGAGTTTAGGTTACTTTGATGGCTTAAAGGCATTTTACTTTGGGAAAAATAAATTGTCCAAAAATAATTCAGGTGATAGTTCAACTCTAAGGTTTTGTGTAAGTTTTTAAAAATAGGTAAGTGAGGCCACTTTATGGAATGGATAAAAGTTATTGATGCAGAAGATATATCAGTCATTCTTTATGACTCTTGGGTTTTTGATTATTCTTAGCCTTCTAAAAATGTAATGAACTGAAAATGAAAATTTCAGTCTTATTAATCATGTCAGGAGTTGGACTGCAATGGGGAGAAAAGAAGGATTTCTAAATTGAGCATGACTAAGAATGAGTAAGCATGAGTAACAGATCTTGGCAGAGGAAAACATTACATGTTTGCTAGGTCAACATTTCTGATGGACTCCGAAGATAATTGGTATTCTTTTAAAAGTTTTTAGCACATAATATGAGAAAGCTTAAATAAGACATGAGAACCCATTTCAAAATGTCCTAGTTAGTGGAACACCTCACTTGCAGTTTTTGCTTCTTGCTCAGCTGTATTGCCAATCAAGGAATGTTTAAAGATATCTAAATTCTACTTACCATGAAGGGTCTACCGTCTTTAGTTTATTAATTCTTTACCCTTTCTTGACCATAGTCTCATTTTCTTTTTCTGTAGTTACAGTTGAAGTGCAGATACAATGTTGTTCGCTTTTTTCATTTAGCACCCTGGTACTCAATCCTTGTTCTCTGTCCATTCCATTTCCTGAAGTTCATACTCCCTTTTAGTGATTTTTTAAATAGCATCAATATCAGAATCTGAGAGATGTTTTGGGATATGGTATTGTTCCTCTTGGAATTTGTGTTTTGGTTTTGGATTCGAGTGTATCCTTGAAGACAGGGATAAAAGAAAAGAACATTGTTAGAGACTTCCTGTTTGCCTGACAATAGCAGACTTAATGTAAATGCTTTTCATGCTACTACATTACTTGAAGTTTGACTGAACATCATATTCCATTGAACTGATGTGTCATCATTTAATTTACCTTGCTTTCTTAAGTTTATTTAAAATTTTTATATTGTGTTACCTGAGCTTTTTAATGCCTTTTTTTCTCTTTAAGTTTTTATTATGGATTGAGTGAAAATTTATAGGGTAGATCATCAGTTTTACATTCAATAAATCATACAACTTGTTTCATCACAATGATTACAATCCCCTCCATCAGTTAACAGTATTTCTCTCTATTCACTTTAGCTCTTTTTTTAAAAAAACAAAACAAAAAAAACAACACTCAGGCATATTTAATAATCTACCCCACCAAAGGGCACATTCTGTAAGTCTGCCTCATGGCCACTATCTCTTAGTTCCTCTCTTCCAATGAATCTAGAGTCCTCAGTTGCTCCCCCTCTCCATGTCCCCATCTCTGCCTCCATCTCTGGTGTCCCACTGCTTTTCTGGATAAGGTCCCGCATTCCACTTGTGCCCTTCTCCCTTGATGGTCCTAGGGTCCTTGGTTTTTGCACTGTAAGATTAACTGCTCTCCCACTTTTGTTACAAAACTTTTACCTTTACAATTGTGACAGTCACAATTAGTTATGATAACAGTTACTCACTGTTGAATCATAAGAATCTTATCCCCATCTTTCTTAACCAGACCCATCTAGACAAGTGGGAACTCTTTGCCCCCACCTTAAACTAAACTCCCTCTTGAAACCTTGTAAGCCAGTCACTTTGTGCCTTTATTGCTCCCTCATTTTAGGTAGCCAGTGTCTAAGTTACTTGTCCCTATCTACCCTGTGCATAGAGGGGATAGCATTGATACTTGATGTGAAGACTCCTTCCCTCTCTGTTGGTATTTAGAGTTACTTCCTCCATGAGTATAGGTCAGGTTCCTCAAATTGTAGCACTTTACCCTTGTTTCCTTTATTAAAAATTGTTTTGTTTTGTTTTTATTTGCCTCTAGTTGAGTTCTGACTATCAAGCCATCGAGGCTAGGTCAAATGGGTACTATCTGCAAGTTTAGGTGTTCTTTTTAATGCCTTTTGGTAATTTATAATTTTCTGATAGATTTCCTTGGGATGATTTTTTCAATAATGTCATGTTAAAGGGTAGGAACATTTGTATAGTTCCTAATACACCATACATTGTATTTATGGAGTGTAAGCATGGTTTCTTGAACCATGAATATAAGTCACAGCATAAGAGGGAAACCTTTTTAGTTCATTAGAGTTGCTCCTTTGGTAATAGAGGAAAGAACCTCCCTTGAGCTGATCCAAGCAGCTACATTTCTTCTGTACTTCACAAGCTCAGTTCACTTAGCTCAGCAACATAGCAGAGGTTCAGTTGATATTTGATGAATGCTTAGGCACTCAACCAAGAAAGCAGTGCATGGTGGGTGAGTGAAATTCAGAGATTTGTAACTCACCATGAATGCGTGCCTTTGCTGTGACAGCTTAGACCAAAACCAACATTGTAGAGATTTGTGGTAGGTAGTTCAGGAGAGTTACCACAAGGGACTTGTGGGTGCTAAACAAAGTTGAGAAATATTTTAAGCATAACCCTTCTATAGACTATGGATGCTGGCCTTCAATTGTCCCACCAGAGCAAAGAAACCTAAGCTCCTGTGTCCAGGGGAAAACCAAGCCGTTTTTTTCAGTGACTATGAGAGAAGTAAATACACTCCAAAACTCTAGCCAAATACTTTTCTGATCTTTGTGTGAATGAAACAATGAGAATTCTAACTAAACCAGGTGTGTTAGCTCCCAAAGAGGCACATTATTAAGTCAGGGGGGAAAGCAGAGAAGGGGTAAAAGAGCAGGCGCTCTGTGAAATGTATGTGTTTACTTAAAGCTTATTTTATTTAGCCACAAAGAATAAGGTACTTACTGTAGAATTAAATACTTGTAGTTATTGTGACAAATGTCTATGTGTCTTTTTCAGGATTACAGGGTTAGTCAAATTGACTTATTTACTGAACCGGAAGGGTTAGGACTTCAAAATTCCTACTTTGATGATACTGAAGAAATGCAGGGATTTGGTGTAATGCAGAAAACTTGTTCCATTAAAGTGCATTGGGGCACGTAAGTATTTTATTTCAAATGCTCTTTTAATGAGGCTTTTTTAGTGAGTGTAGGACTGGAAGGAGGAATTAAAATATAGTTTCTCTAAACTGTATTGTCGTATTGGGTCACTGTGGGTCAGAACCGACACAACAGCACTTAACAACAACAACATTAATGATTAACGAAGAGGTATTTTTTTTATTAGGCACACACACAATGTTGAATCTTTTGTACCTGTGTTACTGTGATTCACCTCTCTTGTAAACGATAATGATTTATTGGAGGAAACATGGAGAAAAACTGCACTTCTAGTGAGGTGATGGTGGTGGTGGTGTGCCGGTGAGTCAGTTCCGACTCATAGCGATGACCCTGAATAGGGTCTCCCAGGCTATAAATCTTCCTGGGAGCAGAGAGCCACGGCTAGGGCCTTCCTTACTGTAGAAGATCCTGATTTGTGCAAAGCTGAGTAAACAGATTATACCTTCATGGTAGTTCACAGGAGGTAGTGTAGCACATGTACTCTGATATTTCAGCCAGATGGAGGCCAACACACATGGGGCTTCCTCTGATATTTTCTCACAGTGCTGTCCAAAGTCCCTAGGACATTGATTTCAGAAATCACAGGAAACTGCAAGAGTATTCGGACAGAAATGGGATGTCTCAGACGGGAGCAGTGGGGATAGAAGTGCAGGATTTACTACCTTAGAGCCGTGGTTTCTACATAGGGGCACGTTCCCCTGACAGGTGACTGGTGTCCACTGAGGTGCAGGAAGAAAGTGTCAAAGCTTCTATTTCAGGTGAAATCTCTTCCTTTAAAAATTGTATTTTGGAGAATGTTTTTAATGTGCAATGATATATTAGTATTTTTACAAATGGGATATGCAATAGAATTTTTTTACGTTTACCCCTTAAAGTGATACAGAGTATCTCTGTAGCTTGTCCTAGACATTATCTTTTTTATCCTTTTTTTTTTTTTTAATGCAATTTGCTGTTGTATTCACCTTGGAAAAATAGTATTTGACAGGATATAGGGAGTTTCGTGAACTGGAGATCAGAGAGTCTCAATTTTGGACCTCAGAAATCTGGAACTAAAAGCTAATAGACAACTTAATGGAGAGTGTGACTATTGAAATTTGGGCTTGCAGGTAGAAGCCATCCTTGAATAGCTTTTACTTCACAGGCGGCTCCAGGAGAAATTTTTTTTATTGTTAATGTGCCATCAGTTCTGACTCATAGTGATTGTAAGCACAGCAGAATGAAACAAATTGGGACCTTCACCACCGTCACAATTCTTGTTCTGTTTGAGCCCATTCTTGCTGCCACTGTGTCAATCCATCTCATTGGGGGTCCCACTATTTTTCACTGACACTCCACTTTACCAAGAATGATGTCCTTCCCCAGGGACTGATCCTTCCTGACAACATGTCCAAAGTACATGAGGTGAAGTCTTGCCATCCTAACTTCTAAGGAGCATTCTGACTGTACTTCTTCCAAGACAGATTAGTTTGTTCTTCTGGCAGTCCACGGTACTCTCACTGTTCTTCTCCGACACCATAATTCAGATGCATCAGCTCTTCTCCAGTCTTCCCTTATTCATTGTTCAGCTTTCACATACATATGAGGCATGTGAAAATACCATGGCTTGGGGATTTCTCAATATACAAAGGCATATTTAGTAGGAGGTCACACTTTAGGGTATAAAGAATAATGTTAAGTTAAATATCTCCTTTTGATGTATAAAGTTATTTTCCAAGAACAATGTAAATGTTGCTGCTTTAAAATAGTGTACGTTCTAAGTTAAGCCATTTGCTAACTGTAAGGTTGGCAGTTCAAACCCACCAGTGCCTCCATGGGAGGAAGATGAGACTTTCTGTTCCAGTAAATATTTACAGCCTTGGAAACCCTGCACAAAGGGTAGTTATGAGCTGGAATCAACACCATGGCAGTGAATTTGTTTTTTTGTTTGTTTTTCTTAAGCCTTAAGAAGGGAGCTCTGGTGGCACAGTGGTTAAAGCACTTGGCTGCTAACTGAACGTATTTAGGCACCTCTACAGCAGCTTTACCAGCACAGTCACCAGGTCTTCCCTGCAAAATGGCTGGTGGGTTCGAACTGCTGACCTTTTGTTGGTCAACCTATCACTTTGACCACAGTACCATGAGAACGCCTTTATTAGTCTAGTGTTGTGATCACTGTTGTCGAGTGTTGTTGAGTCTGTTCCCTCTCACTGTGACCCTGTATTGGGTTTCTGAGGATCTGCTGGTGATTTTGAGCTGCATACTTTGTGGATAGCAGTCCAGTGCTTATACTACAGTGCGGCACCAGGACTCTTCGTTAGCCTAGTAGGAATAGGCAGTGTAAGTGTATATGTACTGTGTTGGATAGCATGTTAAACTAATTAAGTACTAAAAGAAACACATTATGGAGAGGGACAATGAGCAGTGCTGTTAGATAGGATAGTCAGGGAGATAGATATCTGGTGACATTTAGGCAGAGATCTGAAGCAAGTGAGGGAGTCAGCTGTGCAGATACCTGGGGCAGGAGAGATGGCAGGTGAGGCGAGAGGTGTCTTAAGTAGGAAAAACAGCATTTGCAAAAGCCCTGCTTGGTAAGTTTGGGCAACAGCTAGGAAGCCAGTGGCTGGAGAAGAGAGCTTGGGAGACAGATGGATGGAGAGGGCCCAACTATGTCAAACTGTTTAGACCTCACAAACAATTTTAGAATTAATCTTAAGTGATACGTGAAATCATTAGAGGCTTTTTGTAGAAAATAGACTGTAAAGAGGCAAGGGTGGAAGCCAAGAAAACAGGAGGCAGTTACAGTAATTCAGGCAAGAAGTGATTGTGGTCTCGACAGAGTGATAGCGGTATGGAGGTGAGAAGCAGTCAGGTTCTGGATAAAAGTTATAGGGAGTGGTGAGGGCGGTGAGAAATGGTCAGGTTCTGGATAAGTGTGAGGATAGAATTGATATACTCTGTTGATGGGTTGTATGAAGAATGTGAGGAGTGGAGAAATGTCTAGGGTATGGGACTCCAGCATGTATTGGAGGAACAGACTGGGATGGAGAGTGACATTCAGGACTGGAATTTTGGACAAATCTGAGCTGCCAACTGTACATTCAAGTGAGGGTCAGGGAGCTGACAGGATATGTGAGGCTGGAGGTACAATTTTCAGAATCATCAGAATAGAGGTGGTTAAACCTTATGCTGAATGAGATCTCACAGGGAGTGAGGACAGTTAGGAGAAGCCATCTGAGTCTCAGTGCTTTTACATTTCTAGATTGAGACGAAAAGGAGAACTCTAAGCAAAAGGAATGCGTTCATCTCTGCTTGCCTTTGTTCTTTTCTAAAGTATGAGTGCTAATTTAAGAAACAACACTTTCCTTAGAAAGAAATCTAATAGGTGTCTGCAGACTTCTTTAAACTTACCATGTCTGGAAAGTTTCATGACTCAGGATTGGGCTATGTTGAAGCATATTATGCTGTTACACTTAAGGCATGTTTCTTACTTTTTCAGTAAGTTTCACTTTTGCCCGGTGAGTGATAGTTACAGTCCTGCCATAGCTGACAATTTTACAATGGGCTGATATTAAATGCCATCAAGTCGACTCCAATTCATGGTTGTTGTTGTTGTTGTTGTTGTTATGTGCTGTGGAGTCGGTTCCGACTCATAGTGACCCTTTACGGGTTTCCAAAGCTGTAAATCTTTACCGGAGCAGAAAGCCTCATCTTTCTCCCGTGGAACAGCTGGTAGTTTTGAACTGCTGACCCTAAGGTTCGCAGCCTGATTTGTAACCCCTACACTACCAGAGCTCCTTCCAAGTCATAGTAAACCTGTATAAATACAGTTTCTGAGGAGTGGCTGGTGGGTTTAACCGTTGATCTTGCTATTGATCAGTGCTTATCCTATAGCACCACGCCAGGACTGTTATACAGTGGTGATGGTGGTTATTAACTGCCATTGAGCCTATTCCAACTCATAGTGACCTTGTATAGGATTTCCTAGGAGTGACTGGTGGATTTGAACCTCCAACCTTTCAGTTAGCAGTCCTTTGTCATAGCAACCAGAAACAAGAGATGTCTCTATGGTGGTAGGCATCTTTTTTCTCTGGCTATTTAGATCATGGAAAGTCCCCTTCAGTGTCAGCTTTGCCAACTCAGTTTGGGCCCACTAAACTGGGTAGGTCAGCTTTACAGATCATCAAGTAGAGTCTTGATGGTTTGGGAGAATTCAACTGATAATATGTACCTGAGCTCATTTTGTTTGAGCTTTAGCTGTGGAGGGATAGTTTTAGATTACACTAGGTGATTTATTCCAGGGAGGAAAATGAGGCTTTTTGTTCTTTTTGTTAAAGATTTACAGCCTCAGAAACTCTGTACAGGGCTGGGATGCATTGGAATCTTCTCCAGTGGTAATGGCTTTGATTTGGGATTTATTCACTTTAGTTTAGGATCTTCTACACACAGTAGGGATAATACAAAATTGTCATTTGGGGAAAAGTTACTTTCAATGTAAATAAATTTCCTTTTCAGATTCTGTGGAGTGTACTTTGTTTTTGAAGCTTTCCTTTAAAATATCTGGCTAATCCCTTTAAGAAGTGAGGGCACTTTTTGGGGTTTTTCAGTGTATTTCTAACAAACAGAAACAAAGCATTTTAAGACTTAAGGGAGTGTAAGATTATCTGCCCAAGTACTATCGTTTAATCAAGGAAGACTGGCTTCCATCTCCCCTCAAGGTTAGTGCAGTTGTTAGTGGAGCACGTGCGAGAAGGCAGGTGTTCTGATTGGCAAGTCACAGTATTTTTTTAGTGGCCAGATATTCTTTTATCATGTTTGTTATGAAGCATTTGATATGTTGTTGTTGTTAAGTGCCGTCAAGTTGGTTCTGACTCAAAGCAACCCTGCATAGGGTTTCGGAGGGGTGGTTGGTAAATTTGATCCATCGACCTTGTGGTTCAAACTGACCTTGCAGTCCAGTGCCACACCGGGACAGAAAACTATATAAGGGTCTTAAAAAAGTTTGTGGGAAAATTGAATGAAAGAAGATAGTGAAAATTTTCCATGAACTTTTTGGTGCCCCTCATGTGTATATGTGTAAGTTATGAATTCTAACAATAAAACAAACCCGCATGTGTGAACTTATGACCTAGATCACTACCAACACTGCTGTAGCCCCTGTGTAGCCCACCTTGGTCCTGCCCATCTGTTTACTCCACACACATCACCACTGCCCTGATTATGTGTTCTTCTCATTTCCTAATTTTAGAGTGTCTCCCTGTCATTTGTGTTCTTGAAAGTAGTTTAATTTTGCTTGCTTTTGAACATTACAAAATAACATCAAAGTCCTTGTCTCAGTTGTCTAGCACTGCTATAACAGAAGTACCCCAAGTGGATACCTTTAACAAACAGACATTTCTTGTCTCTCAGTTTACCTGGCTAGAAGTCCAAATTCCGAGTGCTGGCTGTGGAGAAAGGTTCTTGTCTCCTTTCAGCATCTGTAGGACCACCATTTCTTGGAGACTTCCATGTGTCTTCGCATCAATCTTCCTGAGTCGAAGTCGAAATGATGTACTGTACTCCAGTCTCTTGTTTTTTGGTGATAGTAGATTCCGCTCTCTGCTCGCTTCTCTCCTTTTATATCTCAAAAGAGATTGACTTAAGATGCATCCTAGTTTGGTAGATTGCATATGGCCTCATTAACATCACAGAACTGACGATTTACAGCATGTTGTAGGATAATTGATCAGGGCTGCCCACATAATGGGGGGTGATTGCATTGTATTAGATCTCAATGTTTGCTAAACTAGTGGGAATCCAGGCCCAACCAAGTTGGCACAATACCCTATCACACACCTAGTCTCTATGACTTCCTTATTTTACTATATATTGTTTCTAAGATTACCTATATTAATGAGTATATTTGCATTTCATTTTATTGCTATATAATATCCCAACATATCTATTTCACTGTGAAGTATACCATGGTAGAGCCCAACATTTTTATTATATAAATTTCAAGTATACAGAAAAGTGCAAAGAGTTGCACCCAGATGCCTAGAGTCAATAATTGCTAGCATCTTGCCATATTTGTTGTTGTTGTTATTTTTCCAGAACCATTTGAAAGTAGGCTGTAGATACCACCACGCTGCATGTCTAAATATTTCCACATGCATCTGTCTCTGTAATGACATTCTCCTGCTTACCTATACAATCATTATCACACACAAATTATTAACGACAAGTCTGTGGGAATATCTAATCTATAGATAATCAAATATTCCCAATTGTCTCAGGATTGCCTTTTATAATTTTTTTTTTCCTAACAAGGAAGGTTACAGAGTTCATATATAATACATTTGATTGTTTTGTCTCTTTGTTGTCTTTTAATTTCCAAAGTACGCCTATCTTTGTTTCCCAGACCACTGACTCTTCAAAGAATTTAAGTCAACTATTTTATTCAGTGTGCCACATTCTGGATTTCTTTCAAAAGAGCGTTCTCATGATATAATTTAACTTGTTCCTTTATTCCTCAAATTTTCTATCTACTTCACATTAAGACTAGGGAGGTATGATTAGATTCAAGTTGAACAACTTCACAAGCATACTTTATGTATTGTGCTATATATTCAGTGGCATATGTTAACCAGTTTACCCAAGTTTGATGTTTGGTTCAAGGTGTTTCTCCATATCTCTTCATTATGTTCTTGTTCAGCGACATCAAGTTGATTCTGACTCACAGTGACCCTGTATAGGGTTTCCGAGGAGAAGCTGGTAGGCTTGAATCACAGACCTTTCAATTAGCAGTCCAGTGCTTATCCTATAGCCCTATACCAGTCTCTCCATTATAAAGGTACATTTTTCACCTTGAGATTCATTGTCCACTCTCCCTTGAATAACCTCAAAGTCAGCACATTCATATTTAATCTTTCAAGTATCCAGTTGATTCCTGTAATAAGTAGCCAACATTTATGGAAGATTGTGGTCCAGCTGGGTTTTTTAATTTTAGTTTTAAAAATGAGTGCCCAATTTTTTTTCCAGGTGACTCAAAGGCAATTTCTAGAAGAGTGGAAAAAATGTTTTTAATTAACATAGATAATCATTTTGTTACTTCAACAATATTTATTTGTATGTGTGCATTTGCTAAGTTAATTTAAGATGTAAGTTCTTATTTATAGTTGAGCTGTTTATTCATAAGACAGGTAAATATCTCATTACCCTAAGTACCTTTAGAAATGCAAAAAACACTGCCTGAAGATAGTTTTCCCCTCTCCTGATAGCCTCATGAGTAATGAATTTGTTGTGACAGAATTTGGGAAAATGATTCATGCTCTGTATATGGGTTTTCAAATTCCCAATCCACCCAGCATTCATCAATGTCTTCTTGAGTTACCCAATAGTCCTTCATTACTCACTGAGGTACCACTCAGAACAGTAGCCTTCAAATGTGTCAGTTTTTAAGCTAATTCCCCTTTACTAAAAGCTACCCTCCTTCTGGAAATGATATGTAACAAAATCAGATGCTTCAAGGAAAATGAAATATTTAGTATAAGATAACGAGATCCTTTCAGAACTCAAATTATGATACAAAGACTTACTTTACGAAAAGGGCACTTTGGGTAAGCATCATTTCAAAATCTTAGGATCCTTTATTCCTGAACCATCCATTCTATCTATGAAATATTATGCCTGTTCAATTGTGAAGAAGTCATACTTCGAGACCCTTGACTTTGTTAGCCTGACAGTACAATTTATGACAGAGCTGCCATTATTTCATTAGGCCACAAAATCCATGTGTAGTATGCCTGAGACTACTTTGAACTCCAAAAAATATGTAATGTACCCTTTATATTTTCATGCTTAAAGTGTAAGGAACTTTAAAGGGACCCTGTACTTAGTCTGTTCCTGTGGCTTAGGGGTATTGTTGTTAAGTGCTGTCAAGTTGGTTCCGACTCATAGCAACCCTATATAGAGTTTTCAGGTAGCAGCTGGTGGGTTTGAACCTCCAACCTTGCAGTTCAAACTGATCTTTTAGTCAAGTGCTTATCCTCTAGAGCCACACTAGGACTCTAAGGTGGATAGTGATGGTATTTAATAGGTAAACATCTTTTTTTTCTTTAAGTTAATTATTTTATTGAAGTTTAAGCATTTCTATAAAAAAAGATGCACAACAAATCTTAAATGACCACATTTTCACAAAGTGAAAACATTTGATTGACCATCATTAAGATCAAGTAATAGAGCACTACCAGGAGTCCTGGTGTGGGGCTATGGGATAAGCTCTGGACCTCAATTTGAACCACAAGGTTGGCAGTTCAAACTCACCAGCCGCTACTCAAAAGCCCTATGAGTCGGAACCAACTCGATGATGACATTTAACAACAACCACCAGTTTCTCAGCAGTTCCTTCCTCTTCCCATGTCTCCTCCCCGTTGTCTCCCTCAAATCCAGTCCAATAGCTACTTTCCTAAATTCTAGCAGGATTCCTGGTGTGGTGCCATAGGATCAGCACTGGTCTGCGAACTACAAGGTCAGAACTTCAAACCCTATGATGTTGTTGTTGTTATGTGCTGTGGAGTCCATTCCGACTCATAGCGACCCTATACAGGGTTTCCAAGGCTGTAGATCTTTACGGGAGCAGAAAGCCTCATCTTTCTTCTGCGGAACAGTTGGTAGTTTCAAATTGCTTACCCTGAGGTTCGCAGCCCGATTCGTAACCATTACACTACCAGAGCTCCTTTCAAACCCTATATAGGACTGCTGTTAGTCGGAACCAACTTGACCGCTAATAACAACAACAACAGAGCATTGTGACTAAGTTTTGAGCCCCATCCATGCATCACCCACAGCCTCCCAGAATTCTGTTTGTTTATGTGTGTTGACAGATCTTCAGTAGGACTCTCTGGTTGTAAGTTCCTGCCATTAGTTTCAGAAGTTACTAATTATCTAGGGGATCTTAAACGAAAATCCTCACCAAAAGTGTGCCCTGGGGGCAAAGTTGAGGACAAGAAAGAAGCTAAGTACTGTAAGCTCTCTGTAATGAAAAGAATTGCTATTAGAACGATTAGGAAGTGGCCCTGGAGTCTGTTTGAAACATGAGCCCTGCCTTTGGTGCTTACAGCTGTGTGGTTTGGGAAATACACTTGACTTCATCTGTAAAATGGGAACACCAACACTCCTTCCTCTTGGCATTATGGTGAGGATTAAGTGAAACTCTGGCTGGCATTCCTTCTATGTGCTAAGTCGGTGTTAGCTGTGATTATAAGTTTTGACACTGTGACAAGTGATTAAATGGAACGCCCTATTCTCTGGTTACAAAAGAGGTGTGTTACCTTTTAAAGCAATGCTTAAGATTTTCTAGGTCAGGCCTCTCTAAATACATACAGCCTAATAGGATTACAGCCACAGAAAATCCTATGAGCACAGTTCTATTCTGAAACACGTGGGGTCTCTGTGAGTTGGAATCAACTCCATGAAACTGGTTTAATAAGGTAACTACATTTATTACTAGGGAGTAATAGAAACTTTTCCACGTAGACTCCATTAGTAATATAAAATTAAAGTAAGTGGACTATCAATAAAGGAGCAAATCATGGCTTATTCCTTTTGGTGTGCTAATTAGCCATGATAATACCAACAATAACCACACAGCATGTCTGTCCATATCCTCCCATGTCTCGTCAGTGGAGGCCTGTGTGTGAGAGAGGAGCAAAAGCTGAAGTAAATGATGAATTGTCCCCTTTTTTTCCTTTCCTTGGCATTTATTTAGATGGCTGATATACGAAGACCCTGGATTTCAGGGTGTTCCTTTCATTCTTGAGCCTGGTGAATACCCCGACTTATCCTTCTGGGACACAGAAGAAGCATACATTGGATCCATGCGGCCTCTGAAAATGGTAACAATGAAACACACAGCGTTTTCTTGGAGTCAGTGATTCTGTGCTGGCTTGACAAGTCATAGGATGTGACTCTGGAGCAATAAAGTTGACTTTTCAAAAACCAACATGTAGCAGGTGGGAGTACCATCACTGGGTAGAAATAATACAACAACTTGCTACAGATCAGAAGACAATGTCCTTTACCTCCAAAGCAGTCTCCGCTTTATGGAGAACAGATGTGTGCTCTTAAGTTTCAGCCTGATGCAAGTTTAATAGGTGAAGAATTAAACACCTATGGGAAAACAAGAGGAAAAAGAAATTTCACCTTGACAGAGAGGAGGAATCCCTAGGAAAGCTTCCTGATAAATCAGTTTGGGTAAAAGTGAGCAGGATTGTTTTAGATGGAGGTGAAGCAGGGTGTCGTTGAGTCATTACAACTCATGGCTACTCCTGTGTGCCAGGGTAGGACTGCGTCGTAAAGGTTTTCCATGACTGATTTGTCGGAAGTAGATTGGCAGGCCTCTCTTCCAATGCCACTCTGGGCTTAGCACCTTACCCTTTTATTTAGCAGCTGTTTGTACCTCTCAGGGACACAGATTAGGCAAAGGGTTGGACAAGCCGAATGAATCTGGTTGTCATTACCAAAGGCTAGGCTGGGTGGCAGTGTAGACGGAGCTGGACATGAACATCCAAATGAGTGTTGTCCTCCCAAGTATCAGCTGTTCAGCTTAAATGGAGGAACCCTGGACATTTCTTCTGAGATTGTAAGCTTCGGGAGGACCCAGGCTTGGTCAAGTCATTCCCACTTCTATGCAAGCTGAGCATAGTTTATGGTACATCCATAGTAGTTGTTCAATAAATTTCCATGGGAGGAGTAACACTTCTGCTACAAACACATTTTTAAAACTGCACTTTAGCAGCTGTCTTCAGAGTCAGTTGGAGACAATTCAGGAAGACAATTTTTATCTTAATTTTACCCCTCCCACCAAAGCATTTGATTTAATTACCTATCTGTTTACTGATGTTCTTACAAATTATTCTTGGATTTTTTTTCTAAAATTAGATTCACTTTCTAAGAACAAAGTTTTGTTAACACTGAACATACGAAAGAATTGCCCCAGGTTTTGAAAGCTATTTTTTGACATTTGAAAAGGATTCGCTTTGAAAGGGCCACTTGTTTGTATAAGCACTGGTTTGCTGACAAACTCAGCCACATTCCTTTGTAATTACAGTTCATTTGGTGCATTTGAGCTCCTTTGGCTGTATTTTTTTTAAGCTGTTGAAGATATATTGGTGAAAAATACCCTTCTGCTTGTCCAATGATGATTTTTAACCTTCTCCTGTTTAATATTTTCATGAAATCCCTTTTCTCTGGTTTGTTTTTAAGTGCGTTTTTGTTTGAGATTTAAAAATAAGTTTTTCTGATTAAAATTTAACAACCCATCATAGACTCATCCTTTAGGATGTTTCCAACTTTCTCGGTATAGTTTATCTTAATTATTCCAGTGTTCCTCCAGACTTTGTGAACTTTAACAGGCTGTGGCTTGCAAAATCAAATGCCACCAGGAGCCAAGCAAAATACAAATGAGGGAGTTGTTATTGTTATTAAGTAGATTCAAACTCACAGCAACCATGTACAGGGTTTCTTAGGAATGGCTGGTAGGTTTGTGCCATTGAACTTTCAGTGCTTATTCTATAGTGCTACACCAAGACAGGAATATGAATTTTTATGAGAAATTTTCTGAGTTAAAATAGAAACAAAACCAAAATAAGTAAGTCAAAGAACACATAGACTAGCAGTGAGACTGCATTCTGGACCGGTTTTCTCTTGTCTCCATCTGCGCTGCTAATACATGTAAAACTCACGTCAATTAAAACAAACTGGAACTCAGTTGTACTCTGAGGGTCAATAGCTTACCACCAGCTACTGTGGGCAGTATAAAATGGTGATATATCAGTGAAAGCGTACTCTTCTTACTATGTTATTTTACCTTTTAGGGTGGCCGTAAAGTTGAATTCCCTACGGATCCAAAGGTACTAGAAAAACAACTTTTTCTTAGCTTTATTTCCACTCTATCTCTATGAACATAAAGTTCATATGACTTCACATATAAGCCTCCATAAAATGTAATTGTGGTTAAAACATTTGCTAGAGCTTTTCATGTACTATCCTCTAGTTACTCATTAACACTGGTCATATGTGGAGCTCTGACCCAAAAAATTCAGTGTTGTGTTAAGTTTGTAATTTGTGGTTGGATTTACTAATTGTAGGGCATCTTGATGCCTGCCAATTAAACAGGAACATTTTTTCCTTTTCTAGACAAGCTCCCCACTACTCCAGAATGCTCTTTCTACTGTTTCTATGTGTCACACCTGTACCACATATTTTAACGATATGATGGTGTTGGTGGTAGTGTGCTGTGGAGTCGGTTCCCACTCATAGTGACCCTGTACAGGGTTTCCAAAGCTGTAATTCTTTACGGGAGCAGAAAGCCTCATCTTTCTCCCACGGAACAGCTGGTAGTTTGAACTGCTGACCTTGAGGTTAGCAGCCCGACTCGTAACCACTACCCTACCAGAGCTCCTTATTTTAACAACATAGTTCATCCATATTTAAAGCAACTTCAAAACACTCAATTTCTTCATTTTTCTTGAACAAAAGCCTAACTATCAGTTCTAGACAATGTACAAAATCCAGTTATTTAGAAACATGCCTTTTGAGCATTGGCTTTGAGCCATACCAAAATGGGGAAAAGAGCCTGCTTTAAAATAAATAAAAAACACTTTATCATAAGATTGAGTTAGTTTTTTAAAATATGTTTGTTGTTGTTGCTGTTAGGTGCTGTGGAATCGGTTCCCTCTCATAGTAACCCTGTATGGGGTTTCTGAGGAGACGCTGGTGGGTTTGAACTGGCGACCTTGAGGTTAGCAGACCAGTGCTTATCCTACAGTGCCATATGTTCCAGAACTTAGTGGTCTTAAATGGCTGATCTAATTATCTTTGTGCGATCTACTGGTATAACTCATTTCTGTTATAGGTAGTTGTCTATGAAAAGCCTTTCTTTGAAGGAAAGTGTATGGAATTAGAAACAGAAATGTGCAGCTTTATCATGGAAGGAGGTGAAACAGAAGCATCGACTGGAGATGGTAGTTTGCCACTTACATCAGTGGGGTCCATGAAAGTTCTAAGAGGCATGTAAGTAGATGGGGTAACCAGCCTCTAAGGATTCTATCTATATGTTCTTCCTTAGCCCATTGTGGGCAGGTTTACAGAGACTGGTACGGGCAACTAAGCAATGCTGATAAATGACCTCTCAACATCGTTAATTAGTCACTGACAACTCGCCTTCTAATTATTATCTTATTTTCTATTTTCTGAGTCTTTAAATGCATTTTTAGAAGCATACATGGAAATAAGCCTTGTTATCATAAACAAAAATATATTATAATTACTATTTGAAGAAAGTTATCCAATTTCACTCGCTGAAGCCCTTTTCAGTGAGTTCTTATTAAATGTACATACACGTGCTCCTTTACAGAACTGTTAAATGTTTCCTGGGTTGTTTTCTTGGCACCTTCTGTTATCAATGAAAATGATACATACATAGGAAAAAATGTAGCCTGTTGAAAATCATTCTTACTTCTTCATGTCCTTTCCTTTGCAGTTGGGTTGCCTATGAGAAGCCTGGATTTAGAGGTCATCAGTATTTGCTAGAAGAAGGAGAATACAAGGACTGGAAAGATTGGGGAGGTTATAACGGAGAACTTCAGTCTTTACGACCTATATTAGGTGTAAGTTAAAAAAAAATCTAATGGCTTAATTTTGGGGATTTTTTGCATAATAAATGACTGATCTTTGATTAAATGTTTTTTTTTTTTTTCTCAATAGGATTTTTCAAATGCTCACATGATAATGTATAGTGAAAAAAACTTCAGCTCTAAAGGTTCCAGTATTGATGTATTAGGAATTGTTGCCAATTTAAAGGAGACTGGGTATGGTGTGAAGACACAGTCTATTAACGTACTGAATGGAGTGTAAGTGAATAACTTCAACTGCATTTTAACCATGCATCTCACTTTGGTTTGTGTTAATCTAATGGATATATGACACGGCGTGGATATTTAATAACAAAGATATCTCAACAGTTCAACAGTAATATAACAGTTACTTGATATCTACTGCCATAATATTTCAAAACTGCTTTAAAAATCTTTCTCATGTAATCTTTTTCAAAAATATAGTGTAATATAGCATTGGAGTAGGCTTGGGTATATTGATAAAAAATATATAGATTTGCTTCTCTAGTCTTTCTGCATGGAGAGATCTCAGGAGTCAAATTATAATAGTAATCTAACCTTAGAATATTGACTATGCAAAGACATTCAGCTGTGTATATTAAACCAAACTATGGATAACATTGTGAAGAATGGGAATTCCTGAACATTTAATTGTGCTTATCTGGAGCCTGTACATAAACCAACATGCAGTCATTCAAACAGAAAAAGTCAAGAAATGTATACCTTAGGGTTTTCATAGTCAACCTATATGCCGAGCAAATATTCTGAAAAGCTGGACTGTATGAAGAAGAACCCGCATGAGGATTGGCGGAAGGCCCATTAGCAACCTGTGATATGCAGATGATTCAACCATGCTTGCTAAAAACAGAGGATTTAAGTACTTATTGATGAATATCAAAGAACACAACTGTCAGTATAAATTACACCTTTATGTAAAGAAGCAAAAATCCCCATCCTGATAAGCAAAAAAGATTAAAGTTTGTCAAGGATTTCATTTTATAAGGCTCCACAATCAACATTCTTGGACGCAGCAATCAAGAAATCAACTAACAGCGGTCTGCTGCAAAAGACCACTTTAAAGTGTTATGGAGCAAAGATGTCATTTTGAAGACTAAGGTGAGCTCTGACCCAAGCCATGGTGTTTCCAGTCACCTCATGTGTGCATGTGAAAGCTGGACAATGAATAAGGAAGACCAGGGAAGAATTGATGCATTTGAGTTATGGTGTTGGTGAAGACTATTGAAGGTACTATGGATTTCCAGAAGAATGAATAAATCTGTCTTGGGAGAAGTATAGCCAAAACACTCCATAGAAATGAGCATGGTGAGACTTTGTCTCTTACTTTGGACATGTTATCAGGAGGGACCAGTCCCTGGATAAGGACATCATGCTTGGTAAAGTAAAGGGTCAGTGAAAAAGATGGATTGACAATAGACGCAGCAATACTGCTGACACACAACAGCAGTTGTATGAGGATGGTGCAAGACCGGGCAGTGTTTTGTTCTGTTACACATAGGATCTGTGTGAGTCAGAACCAAGTCAATGGCCACTAACAATAACAGCATGAAAAATCTGCGATCGGGCAGAATCTCAGTAGATTTTCTGATGGCGTTGCACTCACTCCTGTGTTTTTCTCACTATTATTTTGATACAAAAATAATGATTTCAGTGTACCTGGCATTTAGTCATTAAGTGCTTTACTAATGCTAAAGAAAGTTTTATTGAAAGCAGTTATCAGTCAAGACTCTTTAGGTTACAAGTGACTGCAAGCCAACCTAAATTGGCTGAAGTAATCAAAATGAAACTTTTTGGCTTATATAACTAAAAAGTCTTGGAAAACGTCTTTGCTTCAAGCTTGGCTGGGTGTATGTTTCAAACATTGTCATTAGGACTTGGCGTCTCTCTCTTTACTTCTCTCTCTCTCTCCTTTTCTCTCTGTCTCAGTTGGACTTTCCAGTATATTGGCATTACTTTTGGCAGGCCCTATCCATCTGGTGATCTTTTTCAGCATCTGGCTTTGTTCTCCCAATTTACTGGTTCCAGTGGGAAGAGCTTCCAGGGTTGACTTTAATTCTCTAAGCTTGGCTCACATACACATGCCTGCACTAATCACTGTAGCCAGGGGTATGACCATATCTGAGTTATGTCTCCAGAGCTGAGATAGCGTTCAGCCCCCTAGACCATGCAGATATGTCTGGGGTGAGTGGTTCCCCAGGGTCATCAGAAGAAGTAGAGATAGATGCTGGGTGAGGTGAAACAGCACAGTCCACGACAGAGAGTTAAACATTATTATTTTTTTGATCCATGATATCTGTTGTAATATTTTTTTATTCATGAGAGTATTCTTAGATGGTTATATGAAATCAGTTGAGAGTATATGATATGTTTTTGATGTCATGAGTAATTGAGACTGTTTGAATCAGTCTAGCCTCCACCTTGTTGTATTTCAAGGCTGCACCCACAGGAACCCTGAATATTTGAGACATGTCCACAATATGTTTTTACTATCAGGCCTGCTCACCAGAGTCTTGTATAGGCCATTGGATGTGGTGCCATCTTGGCAGAGGGACATCTGTGACTCCATGCCTCCCCTTTTTACTTGGCAACTCCTCCATTTGTAGGAAATGGTTGTGTTATGGAGCCCTAACATTTTAGAATCAGTGTTGGCTGCCCACAAAAATTAGGGTAGGGCAGAGGCATCTGAGATGTTGTGGTTTCGCGTTGTTTTAGATAGCCTTTAAAATTAAGTCTTCAGAAAAAAGTATCAGCGTAGTCTTGTGAAATAATTATGCATTTTGGAACTCACCGTATGCCTCTTGACACCATTCATCTGAGCCCAGTCATCCACCCTATGAGAGAAAGCAAAAGGGTGGGAGGAAGAATTCCCTTAGACTATGCAGATTACGTTGTTGGAAGAGGCAGAATTATCATACTCTGAACCTGGGCCAATCCCCTTTTCCTTTTACCCAGCCCTTACTAATGTGAAATCAGTTTCTTACCTAAAATATTGCATGCATGTATATGATTCTATTTTTAGTCCTTTCTAGTTGCATTTCCTGGCTTTGACTTTTTTCCTGGGTGTGACAGTTGTGGGTGTTGGGTGGAGGAGGGAGGAAGTTGAAGGGAGGTGTGTGCCCACACACATAGAGATCACTTCCTTGTAAATTCTTTGTAGCCAGTGGTGGTGGCCTCTGGGTTTACTAGGGGCAGGTGTTTCAGTATATTTCATTCAGCTGGTCATTCAGCAAATATTTGTTCAGGAGTCCTAGTATGGCATGATAGGATAAACACTGAATCACAAGGTCAGTTTGAACCACAAGTTTGGTGGTTCAAACCCACCAGCCACTCCTTGGAAACCCTACATAGGAATGCTGAGTTAGAATCAACTTGATGGCACTTAACAACAACAACACTGTGCAAAACATTACATTATGTCCTCACAGAAGCTACAGTATTTCTATAAAATGTAATTATTGCTTAAAAAAAAAAAAAAGAAATTAAATGCTTTGGGAATCTATAGGCAGGAAAGGTGAATTTCTAATCATGGCACTGGAAAGTTTGTGGCAGAGGTGGTCCTTGAGCAGGCCCTTGAATGACAGGGAACTTTGGATGCCCCAAGTTGAGAAAGGAAGACTAGTGTATAGTTTCATACAAAAATGATTCTTATTGGCCTTGAAGGACCCTGCTCCTGATCAACAAAATGGCATTGCAGCTGCCCCCCAAGTGGCGCTGCAGGCTCTTTGTCTCTCTTGACTTTCTTATTTCTTACAGGCCTTATTCTTTTTGGTAGATAAGCATTTTTGTTTGAATCCTTATTTCTTAGTGATGGAATTCAAAGTCAGAGGAAATAATAATAATGGAAAAAAAAACCTTTTGAAATTCTTTTTTGTGGGAATCTCCCCCAGTGAGCTCACCACCACGTGCCTTATTATTAAGGACCCCTGAGAGCTAAAGCACTCAGCTGCTAGCCAAAAGGTCAGCACTTGGAACACTCCAGCTGCTCCATGAGAGAAAGATGTGGTAGTCCACTTCGGTGAAGATTAGAACCTTGGGAATCCTCCAGGGCAGTTCTCTCTTCTCTAAGGTTGCTATGAGTCAGAACCAACTCAGTGACAGTGGGTTGAGTAAGCTGATTATTAGCTCTGTAACAGAAAACAAGCTTCGGGAAGATGCTCATGAATCTAACCGCTGAGGGTTTAGGAACTGCATTCCATTTCTTATTGCAACATCAAAGGAAATAACCCTACTCATCAGTTTCCAGTTCTGTGCTATGTTGTTGTAGTTAAATACCGTCGAGTCGGTTCCGATCCATAGCGACCCCATATAGGGTTTTTGCTCAAATAGTAGAACCTGGCTAAAATTTTTTTGTAACCAAGCATATTAGGGTTCAGTTAAAAAACAAAACAAAATTGCTTTAAATTCTTTTTACTTTTTCCTCTCCACACACGAGCTTGTTTACAGTGCTTCCTTTAACTTCTGAGCACCACTCCACCAATCTAGAACCTGTTAATACTCGTGTGGTGATTCATCTGTACAGAATATATTTAAACAAAGACAGTGAGTAATTTTTCTTCTTAAGAATACCAAGTGTATGTCTACTTTAGATGACAGAGAATCTCTGACCTGGATGATTCCTTGCAGGCTGTCTTTTAGAAGGAAAATAACACTACTGTCAAGTTAAGTAATACCTTAATACAGTGTTTTCCTGTTTCAGTGACTTAGATAAGCTAATGTGTGTTGGCTGTTTACGTACAAATAATTTCTTTTCATTTTGTAGGGAAATATAGTACTCATATTTGCTAGTTTATGAAAAAACAAAAAAGACAGGGGAGAAGTTAGATCTCCTGGGCTTGCTCACTTAGTACTGTGTATTCAGTCTCTCTCTGCTCACTGACTTTCTACCCTCCTTGTAGACATGCCCACGTCTCCACTAACCTCAAACTCAAACAATCAAACAAAAAGGCCTTTAAGCAAACTCTGTTCTCCCCTAACTTGTTACAGACCCTGAGCCTGCCAGGAACAGTTTGTGATATGATTTAGATTTTCTGGATGTATAGATACCCCTCCACATAGAGAAGCACGTCACACTTCTGTGTTGCGGTTGCTTCCATTCCTAATGTGTGACAAGCTGTTAAAAACTAAACAAAAAAACGGGCACAGGGGTGGAGTCTGATCTCCTCTAACTCCATAAGGGAGAGAATCACTATCAGCATCAGCCCAAGGCTGATTTCTGTGAG